TTTCTGCGGCCGGCATAATTCTAGCGTGCCTGTTCATCATCAGGCGAGACGTGACCCTTTGGCGCACCGTTTGTTTAGCCTCTTTGCTTGTTTTATTTCGTACTATAATGGCATCAAATTTGGCAGAAGTCAGCTGGGGTGGCATCAGAAGTGTTAAAATTGGCTTCGTGGCTCAGCACTCTGAGTTCCGGTTCGCTTAACTCCTTCGAAGTTAAGTTGTGTATCCCAATTTCGTTGGTATTGATTTTGGGTTAAAATTTGACGAATTTTGGACTAGATTCATTCTCTTCACTTACTGTCTCGATTTTGGCAGGGTTTATATTGTTCGGTCCAGACACTCAGTAACTGATTCGCCGAGTAATGGCGCCCACTCCGCCCTTCTTTCGTCTTTGGCAGTTCGGTACTTTCGCAGCCGTTGATCAGCACTCTTAGCATTTGCTTGCGGAAGTGTTAAACGGCTCGACGTACGACGGCGTCACAACGCCGGGGGACCATTGTGGACCAAGCGGCACAAACCAGACCTAGCTGCGAACGTAGTCCCGCCTCACGACACAACGATATAAATGTTTGCACGTTGCTGCAATCTAGCAGTCTCTGATGATAAACTCGAGTTCGAGTTCGAAAGATTAGGCCAATAAATCCGTCGCCCCAGCGATGGATTTATACAAGCAACTGGGATGTGCATATTCTCTTCCAATCTGTGATTAATATTATCACACAGGACACGTGTCTACCACGTCCATACGGAAAATATCAAATCAAATGTATTCATTCAGGGAACTTCATTTGTTATCACCTTATTATTTATCACAATATCGAAGCAATCGGAGCTGCAGCTGATTGATCTGCAATTTGTTTTAGAGATGACACACATTCGCTCCCAAAAAACAATGTAATCCATCAGCTTTCCGGCATCCAAGGACTAATGGAAACGCATAATGAGTAGATCCCCGACTACTCGGCGAGTTACAACAACATCTCAAGCGACCCCTTTAAAAATTGCATTGGTGAACTGAAAGGTCTGCAGTATTATGGCGCCCTCGAAGCCGCTCGCGGGGGATGAATTTAGTTTCCCTACTAAAGAGAGACAGTATAGCTGCCGAAATGCAATCAGTTTTCGCCCCATCATCAGTGAGGTTTTCACCGTCAGCAGTATTCAAGAGGAGCATAGGATCTTTGTTTCGTACACCAAGTGTGGTGTAACTGTGGGATACTTTCGGGGTCGCCGCGGCATCGTTAAACAAATGCGATTCAAATTCTCGCCCCGTTCTGCGGTTAAAACACTTAGGATGGTTGATTTCTACAGCCAAATTTGCAGTCCTCTTCACTTGGTACCTTTATACAGTCAAGGAGATTTTCGATATCGGTGCCGTCCTGAAGCAATGATTAAGCTGTTAATGCGGCTAACCAGTAAATGTGTGTCCTTTAATAGATCGTTCGGTAAAACTGCTTAGTTCAACGACAATGCGAACTTAATTAAGGCCGTGAATATACGGAAATAAATAAACTACAGGAATTGATAAATTTGTCCAAATTTGACCAATTGTTGAGCGGAGCTGCGCTATGTCGACTTTTTCAAAAGGTGTCGAGAATAAAGGGACTGATGGTAAAATCACAGCTGTCACGTAAGTCTCGAAGTCTAAGTAGCGCAATAGGCAACACATATGTCGCTGGAAAACGAACAGTTTGAGGCAATTCTTTGCACTGCCGGACTGTGTATACCCCGTCTAGTTTTCCAAAAGAATGACTAGGTGTGTTAAAGGAATTGCCGTGGTGGTACACTAAGGGCTTCGTCCCCATAAGCATGGGACAACCAGTCGATATCGAGTCGATATCAAATTTTCGTGACAGGCACACCGAATGTAGGGCGATTTTGTACGGTAAATCGATATCAAATCGATAAAGATTGTTTTGGACAAACGAAAACCTAAAAATAACACATACAGCTTTCCGTTTAGTATTTGTCTTCCTCGGTACACTATTATTTTGGCTGTTATATCTTCTTTTGATACCATAAATCACTTTAGTACGTATATTTATGACAGCCACATCCTGGTGTCGACTTAATAATTACCAGGGAAAACATTCTCAGCTTTCACTCTTTGCGGTATATTCTTGGGAACTTGTCTATCAAGGAGCATTCCTAGTTGAAATGCCAATCTGCTAAATACAGCTGCCTGCAGCATGATGGGGCGCCCAGTTGTCAGCCGCTGAGGTTTCGAATGACTTCTTCATAGTTTCTCTAGTCTGTCTGCATCACTTTCAAATGAGAAAGATGGAAAACAAGCAACCCGCCTCATGGCGTCGAACATCCGCAGCAATGTTCGAAATACTACATGCGTTGGAGGCAGTGTGCTTCTCATCGTGCAAGGAAAAATGTGTGAATAACAATTCCCAACACACTATTAAAACTAAAAATAAAAAATGCGGGAGAAAATTCAAGTCTATTTGAATTCACTGCTTTTCTTACAAAAATACGATGGCAAAATATGGCGAACACGACTGTGGTAAATAATTCAGCAGACTCACCTTAACTAAGGCCTTCTCCAGTGAACGTTTTTGCAGCGTAACAATTTGCATAATGTCTAGACGGTTTCTATCTGAAATAAGAAAGAAGAGATTGTTTATTGCGTCTCTACCCAACAGGCTGCAGGATCGAGCCCAGTGTTCCTCACTTCGGAGTCGGCCAAACCTGGCCATTCAAGCCCCCGTCTTTTTCGGTAATGTTAGTCTGCGTAAAACCAATTGTGGTTTTATCAATTAAAAGATCAATAAAGAAACGCTGAAGTGTGTAAAGAAACGCAAAGGTAAAAATCGGAAACGTGGTGCAGTTTTAAATTTGGATTTCGACAGCAGGCTCCTACATTGCGTTCGTCATCTAATGACTGCCTAAAATGTTCATCCTTTCGTTCCATTTGTCCTCTGGGTAAACGGCATTTCCAACATGATTTTGCAGAGCACATTTACGTAATTGTTGTACACTTAAGTCACCCGTGTTAGCAGTAAAGCCTCGGTGCTCGTCCGCAACCGCCGAGCTCCTGCTTGATTTGTTTGAATGGCAATTACCACAGACAACATCTGTTTGTCCTCTCCTATAAGCTCTGGAAATAATGTGCTTCCATATGACGCTCTTAGCGTCTTACTTAAATCGCTTCCACAATTCCGCGGAATGTATCATTTTTATAACTTCAAACTCGACATGTTCCTCTTCTCTCTAAACCCAGTCTAAACAGTAATATAAATACAATTGCGGCAAAGTACAGGAAGAGGATGATACTACTGTTCCGACTGATGCTTTGCCTGACTACGGAGATCCGACATGCATTGTCGTCTTCAAGCTTGATTTTGCATGATATTCTGCTACACAGGTTTGCCAACGTGACAATATATGCGAGGCGAGTTTCATTTTTACTATAATCAGGCTAGTTGTCTAATGCTTAATCACCACATTTCCAAAGGCATTCGTCAGTCCAAAATTCGTGTGCACGAAAATAAAGATATACGTGTCGACGCATTTGCCGTTGAGGCCTGGGTGAACATAGACACTGCCGGCCGTGTGAATATGTTCCCGCAGATAGTCAGGTGCAGGTTTATTAAAAGATGTTTTATAGCCGTTGGCATCGAGGATAATCTGTCCCTACTGGTTACAACTCCTCTAACTTTGTCTTTTGACGTTCGCCCCAGAAGGTGTAATCAGCACCCATTTATCCCATTGAACCTGTCCAGGAGATCGCGTTTTGCTTAGATCCGACATTTCCACCGAGCATATTGCGGACCCCTGAACAGGAAAAAAATTCGTAAGCTGCAGACCGGAGCTATGGGCAAGAAAGACGAATTATTAAAACAATCTTCAGAATGAAGACTGAAGATAGTCGTGTATGCAAGGACCCCTGAAAAATAAGGGGTCACGGTGACCTACTGCAAAATCATCCCTTAATTTTCCTGCTTTTTGTTGTATGAAAGACAAAGCAGCAGTCCAAATCATCATGAATACCGGAGAACGTGACCGAACTGCTCACAGCGTCAACAACCAATCATCTCCAATCTGTTATCCAAACGAAATACTGAATTTGAACCCTTGTTCACATTCACCATATGTCCTTCATCAGAATGGCCTCAGATGCAGACGCCATTCTACAGAAGCCTATAAAAATGCTGATTCGGAACATGTACAGAAACGGGTCCGGTTTAATAGTATACTTTGTGCACTATGACGCGTTTTTATGAGTCCTAATGGGCAAATAAAGCAGTCTGCTATGGAGGAATATATCTGTATGAAAGGCGTGGAAGTATCTACGTCTAAACCAATTAACCCTTCATTTTACACCGGACATGCTTCTGATTGTCTCAACCAAATTATCTGTCTTTAAAAAAGAGTTGTCTACGGAAAGTGGTTGTGTACCTTAATACTGGAGGTTTTTGTGGCGGGTCGGCTGCGCGGATGTCAAATGTTTTTCCCTCAGTTTGATAAGCAGCGTTGTTCACCGATCAAGACTCTCATATACACTCGTGGGCGTAGTAGAGAACCTGAAGTAAAAACGGGTTTGAGTCAACTCAATCACCAGTTCCACACCATTGGATACTGCGAGGACCTACCATACCGGATTCATTGTCCGACACGCGCGTCACAATGCCGACATAAAGGCGTATTCTCCAGACCACGTCTAGGAAGTCCTAGTGGAATGCAAGAAGGAGATCTAAAGTATGATGCTTTTTCGATGGCAATTAATCTGCGGCTGATTGACTACGCACATCATGTCGGTAATTTCACTAAACCTTTAGAATCCACAGTGGCTTAGAGGCAACAGTCCTCGTTCAAGGGGCTAATGCGAGCGAATAAGTAATAATTCAGCGGCGATTTAGAATAGAATAGAAGAAGAAGAATCGAGCACCGGAACAATTCGTTTATTATCCTGAGCTTTCAGACTCGTACAGGAGTCCATCGTCAGAGGTAGTGGCAGAAACAGGACAAGCGGCAGTTATAAGGCACGTAGACCCAATCATCGACCGACGTCGCACGACCGGAGGTGACTACGAAGGGCTCTGTACGCCGGCGCCAGATCGATAAATCGATTGACCGAGTTCTCATCCGAGGCCCAGGCTTCAATCAATTCTCGGCCTGTTTTGTTTCCGGCGTGGGCGACTATTTTGGTGGCTGCGAAGTCAAACTCGTGACCCATTTCGTAGGTGTGGGCAGCCACTTGTGACAATGCGTCGCCTCGCCGCACAGCCAGCTTATGTTCATGTATGCGCGATCCGAGCATGCGTCCGGTCTGTCCTGTGTAATTACAAGGACAACTTTGACACGGAATGCGATACACTACTCCAGATTGCTCTTCAGGTTTTAACCGGTCTTTGATCTTCATGACCCTGTTGCGCATGGTGGCTTTGGGGCGGTGTGCGATTCCAACCCCTAGCTCCGCAGCAATGCGCTCGGTCGCTTCTGAAACACCCTTGATGTATGGCAGAGCATGCCATATCGTCGGTGGCGTTGATGTTTGAGTTCTCTGGTGGCGACCGCGTAGGCAGCGACTTATGAATGCCCTCGGATAGCCATTTTGCACAAACTGGTCGCGGAGATAACGGGCCTCACGCGCTCTGTCTTCCAGTTTGCTGCAATGAGTTTGGATCCGTTTGAAGAGCGTCTTCACACAGCTTCGTTTGTGAGCCCTTGGATGGTTGCTGTGAAAACTGAGAAGCTGTGTGGTGTTCGTTGCCTTCCTATAGACCGTCGTTTCAAGTTCACCGTTAAGGTTTCGTCTGACGAGCACATCCAGGAAGGGCAACTGCTGCTCCTGTTCTTCTTCTCTCGTGAATTTTATATCCGGGAAGACTGCGTTGAGCAGGCTGTGAAAATGTTGCAGCATGTCCTTCTTTACGATGACGAACGTGTCGTCAACGTAACGTCGCCAAAACACCGGTTCATGTTGGAGGAAGGCAATCTTTTCCAACTCCTGTAGGACCAGTTCTGCCACCAAACCGGAGACCGGTGAGCCCATAGGGGTTCCCTTGATTTGTTCATAGGTCTCTCCCGCAAAAGTGAAGAAAGTTTGTTGGCAGAATTCAAACAGCCTCATGAGGTGTTCAATTTTGAGGGCATTCTGAGTCTCATCGTACGCCTCTTCAAGTCTCTTGCGCAAGACTTCGCGGGCCACGTTTGGTGGGATAGATGTGAACAGCGACGTCACATCGAAGGAGACCATGATTTCGTC